ATGCCCAAACATTTAAGAGATGAAGTATTTACTTTTATACCTTCTATTTTTTCTCCGACACGACTTAATGCTCCTGTCAAGATGCATTCAGTTTTATCTATATTCAACTTGGATCCGGCGTAGTTAGAGAACTCGTGTATTGTTTTAAGACATTCTTTCATTGATTCCACATTTTTTAAAAATAATGTAAGATCGTCTGCATGATGTACATGTTTATATTCTTTACCCCTATCTGAGAGTTTTATTCCAGAAATCTGGTCGTTATTCTTGATTTTTAGAGCTAGAATATCAGCGACAAATAAAAATAATATCGCTGAGATCGGACACCCCTGTCGAATTCCCCTTGACATCTTGCATGTTTTAGATACCCATCCATTGTTTTTTAATCGAAATACTGGATTTTTATAAAGAATTTTCATCCATTTCAAAAAGTTTGTTTTAAGGTTAAACTTTTCTAAAGTTTTGAATAGAAAATTCCATTCTATCGAATCAAAAGCCTTTTCGAAGTCTAAAAATAATAATATCCCATCATTGTTGGTTTCTTCACAATATTCTAATATATCTAAAATAATTCTAGCATTTTCACCAATATATCTCCCTTTGATATATGCAGATTGATTTTCATTGATTATATTTCCAATAACATTTTGCAGTCTTTTTGCAAATATAAAAGCAATTATTTTATAGTCAGTATTAGTTAAACTGATTGGGCGATAGTTTTTTAAATTTTTTTCATCGCCTTTCTTATATAAAAGAGAGATAACTGCAACTCTCTGTGAAAAACTCATTTGTTCATTTTCAAAAATATTTTTCAATGCTTCGTAAAATAGAGGTTGTATATCTTTCCAAAAACATTGATAAAATTCGTTTGTGAGACCATCTAACCCGGGCGATTTGTTAGGTTTTAGATTAAATACTGCTTCAGAACATTCTTCTAGAGAAGGAAATTGTTCACAGAAATTAGCATCGCTTTCGCTTAGTGTATTTTCCAGTTCAATTGAAGATAGATAATTGTATGCCATCGTCAGATATATTATTTGAAGCGTATAGATTTTCATAAAATTCACACATAGCGCCTAAAATGTCATCCGTAGTCTCTATATTATTGTTATTTATCTTTAATTCTTTTATGACATTTTGTTTTTGTCTACTTTTTTCTAGATTAAGAAAAAATTTTGAACATTTTTCACCTTCTAATATCCATTTCGATCGTGATCTTATAAAGGCACCTTTACACTTTTTGTCATAAAGCTCATCTAATTCTCTTTCTATTTTGCGTTTTTTGTTCATGTCAATATTTTGAAAATTTGATTCTTCTATTTTATCTAATTCCTTTTCTAATAAGTTAATTTTTTGCTTAATATTTTGACTTGATTTTTTTGCGAATCTAATAGAAAAATCTCCTGCTTTAATTTTGAAAGATTCCCACCTATCTATCGGGTTAACCTGTTGTTCTTGTAGCTCACTTATTATATTTTTAATTCCTTTTTTATATTCTAAATCAGTTAAATGGGAATTGTTTAACTTCCAGTACCCACTACCTCGTTTTTTCTCATCTAATTTAAATGATATTTTTAATACCCTATGATCGGACATTCTTTTTCCGAAATTTGTTCCAGGAATTTTACGTATAATTATGTTCTTTAAGTCCAAGGCAAAATTTTTGCTTAAAAATATATAATCTATTCTACTACTAGGAATATTTTCTGAATTGCACCATGTATATCCATCTGAGGTTGGATATTTCGTTTTCCATGTATCTATTAAATCAAACGCTTTTAGTATTTTTTTTAGCTTTTGAATACTTTGATCGTAATCATTATCAATTTTACAATTAAAATCACCACATAAAATAATATTATCATCATCTGGTGTACATTTTTTATGCATGAAACTATGCAATGTTTGAAAAAATAGACCTCTTTCTTTTACAGAGTTTGGTGCATAAATATTTATAAATGAATAGAATATTTCATTTATTTTTACTTTTAAAAATAATCTTCTACCGTCATGAGATACATGTTTCTCAACTATTTCTGTATTCAATTCTTTCTTAAATAAAATACTGACACCTCGGCTGAATGATGAGTCACTATAACAATGAAATGACTTTCCGAACCATCTTGAGTCATATCTGATCTTATTTTTCTCGACATAATGGGTCTCTTGTAAAAAAATAACATCTATTTTCGTATCATGTAACCATGTATATAGTTTAACCCTTTTTTCGTCCGAGTTTAGTCCACGGACATTTACTGACAATATTTCAAGATTATTCATTTAAAATCTGTGAAAAACAAACATGTTTTGTGACAAAAGAAATATTCCAAAAATCAAACAGTGTCTGTAAATTCACATTTACAATTCATGCTTTGTTACTTGATTTGCTGTTATTTCTGCGGTTTCTTACCAACTGGCTTTTCTGAGCCGTGTTTGGATTTGGCCGTTTTGATCTCATGATATCCGTCAGAATTTGGCCCATAGTGTTTTTCCCTGGCCACGCGCAAATCTCAGTGTACTGCGTTCCTTTTTTGTCGAGTCCAGACCCCCAATAGTCATCATAGGCGGCTTCAACGAGAAGAGTAGATGATTCGACAGAGGAAAGTTTTTCCTTGAACTCAATCACTTGATCGAATTTCGCTTCGATGACCTGACGCATTACGTCGTCTCTCTCCTGAAGCCAATGGTCTGGAACGGTCACCTGTGACCCGATACGCTTGGCGTCTAACGCAGTATCGGCATTTCTGACAGCGGATGCCTTTATGATGTCGCCTGCTCGCATCGCTTTGCTATACTGAAAAGCATGCTCTGCGGAAGCATGAGAAACACCAAACACTGTAATATCGCACGGGTAGAAATTAGACAAGACATCATCTTTTCCACTGAAAGTAATGATTTCTTTGGAAGATGAATCGTGCTTAGGACAGGCTGTGTCTCCCGGGGAATGGCCGGGGTTCCGGCAGACTTTACAACAGGCCTCGTATTCGCAATTGTACCTTAAATGGTCTTCTCCCCAGCAGTTGGTACACACCATGCTCCTTTTCTTGTTTGGTTGACCAAGATGAGAAATTGAGCATTTGAGACCTGCACACTCACTATTTCTTGGTAGAAATTTCCCCTTTTCTAATGGTTTTATGTAGACAAATCGATTGCCATTTAATATTTCTGTCATTTTTAAAGTATTTGGATTTCGAATTTTTTCATACTTAATGTCAGAGGTAAGAGTTGCCCCTAGTTTTTCGAGCATATTTTTAATGCATGTGTCATCAACAGAGAGGGGGACCCCCCTAACTGTTACTCGTACAACCTCTTCGTTAGGGTTCTCTGTCCCTGCTGAAAAGGGATTTGTATCGAAAACAGAAACTGTTTTATTTCGCAGTTCGAAGCCTTCCGATACAAGAAGATTCCTACTTTCACGCGATTCTACATAAATTCTCCATAGGTCTCTGTCCCTTTGGATGCATTTGATATCTGAAATAACCGTACCCACCGCACATGCTAAGTTATAATCTGTTACATAGTTGCTCTTGTCCGTCTGGATATCTCTGTTCCTTAGATATACGGGTTTTAACATTTTTGTTTGCTCCATTGTTCAATCAAAACTCAGTGTGAGCTTCACTCACCTAGGTTTAGCACACTGTTGAATTAAACACAATAGCAATAAACACAAATACGCTCGCCTTTTCCAAGGAAAACTTCCAAATGAAAAGGAAAACACTTCCCAAAACCACTGTACACAGTATATATACACAAAACAGCACAATAAAGAAAAATCCAAGAAAAATATATGTCAAAAGACGGAGCGGATAAAGGACACGTCCATTCACTACACCGTCACGTGACTACCTGACTCAATATTATGTTACAAGTTTGGAAAAGTGGAAAATTCTTTAATTTTTTTTGGAAGACCTGGAAAATGAAATAGACTTAGAAAATATTATTAATATTTCAATAAAAAAGCAAATATAGACAAATCACAGTCAGAACAGGTTTACAGGTGAAAATAAATTTCGGAATATGTTATCTTGGTGCTAAAAGTGTAATATAAACTTTAGAAAAATATACCAAGCCAGGTGAATTTTATGAGGAAAACGAAATAACAAAAAATCAGCAATATCACATGGGCTGATTTTCACCATTTTGCCCGTCCTTATAAAATTAACATGGCTTGGGTTATTTTTTTTAAAGTTTATATTACACTTTAGCACCAAGGTAAAATTTTCTGAAATTTATTTTCATCTGTAAACCTTTACATAGAGTGTTTTGTCTATATTTGAAATTCCATTGAAATATTACTAATACTTTCCATTTCTTAAGAGAATTTTTAAAAGGAATTATCCCCTTTTCTAAACTTGTGACATGATATTAAGTCTCCTCCAAAGAAAAAAAAATTGTTTGTATCATCTGTCCTTAACCAGGAGCTGATTTAGGCGTAGATGGTTTCAATGTCATTTAAGTAATTTAAAAACATAATGTAAAAATAGAGTACAGTGTGCTTGATGTATAACGTGTTGATAGAAACTCTACTTTAAAAAATATCCTATACAGTCATATTATACATGTTGGATATTTTACATAATGAAAAAAGAAAAGAATATGAAGCAATTTTTTCATAATACACGGTAGTACATTGTAAATGGTTTTTAGACACGGTAAATTAACCCCTTATATAATGTATGAGGAAACTGGTCCTTATATCGCTATACATTTTTGCATATCTAGACATGAAATAATGCTATTTTACATGCTTCTCGTGAAAACAATTACGAATTATTATAACACAGAGAGCATTAGTAAAATGACAATGTGATAAGGAAGAGTCCCAAAAACTTAAAAGTAATAGACCATTAAACAAAGACCTTTAGGTGTCTTCAGGTGACCTACAGGAGTAGGCATCTACAGAAGACCGACAACATCTGCAGATCATATATGTAGATCTCAAATACTGTGTACAATTTTGTCACAAAATCAAAGCTAGCAATACTTTTCCTTCATCTTAGGACCAATATAAAGCAGTTTATCTTGCTCTATGTGAATCATTCAATGGAAAGTCCAGATGTCAAACAACAGAGTCCTTTTTACAAGAGCTTCAAAAACAGTCTTGTTACACAAACTGTGGAGAAGTTGCCGGGAAATCATCCTTGTCGTCCGAATTTCAGGTGATTTCATTCTAACTTTTGTTTCTTTCCGATTCATACATCAAAATCTTAAAACGTTAAAATCTGTTACCAAATGTTTTAAAACAAAAAAATTGTATAATTAGAATAATTAAACAACGTCGTCTTGACCACTGATTGAATACAATTACTTATACTATCTTAAAAGAAGGTACAACTGAATATTTTTGTGTCATTACATGTAGGAATTACTGTCTCTGCGTAAAGAATATACAGAAAAGGACTATGACTCAGGAAGAAAATACCTGACTGCAAACTACACGGAAGAAGTCCTTCCAGGTATATTATAAAACACACAAAATTATTAACACCATACTGCACAAATGAAAAAGTACCAAATATTTTACTGAAAGAATATAAAGTTAACTGTTCTTCCTTCTATTTTTAATGAGTATTAGAGTAATGAAAAACACAGTTCAACGGTGCTATTATTATAAATAAAATGTCATTTTGTAACGTCGATCTTTGTATATTCTTATTCACGGTTTAAATTTCAGTGGAAGAATTTCTGTGCTATCTGTCCTATACAAAGGGACGCAACAACTACTACAACGCTGTTTTTCTTCAGGTCCAAGTTACAATTGACTTCATTCAAATTGAAATAAAATATTGTTTTTATATTCAAAGTCATCTTACAAAAAATATTTAACTGTCATTACAGTGTATCAATACTGTATCAAACAAATCAGGCATATATTTTCTTTCCTTTGAATGATCAAAATCGGGTCTGGAAATCGAAAAAAATAAAGAAACTCATCCGTATTTTTAAATGTCTTCTACAATTAAATTTCAGTCCCTCACAGAGAACGACAGTCTGATCAGCGCCCAGTACCCACTTCCTGACTTCACTGAAGAGTTCCTCAGACTTATCAGAGACTTTGATGCTCGTGTTGTGGTTTTCCTTGGTCCTTTGAAGGAAATAAAATCTGTAGGAAGCATTATTGAAATATATATTATCGTATTTTTTGACAATCATTTAAAACAAATAGTAAAGAGGTTTTTTATCGAGTATTTTTATCAACTATGTGAGACCTAACTTTAGGAAGTGGTATAAGATACTTTGTGACAAGAAAATTAGATACAAAATATGAAGAAAACCCTCCAATTGGGGTTTTATTTCTCTTAGAGTACAGTTTGATATTATAAAGAAAGCACTAACAAGTTTCATATTTTTATTTTTTTCAGTCATCACAATGGCTTCCATCTAAATCTGAACACAAAACCGTTGGAAGTTTCTCAATCAAAATGTCTTCTGCAGCAAGCTCCACAAATTTTACGTCAAGAAATATAATTCTACAGTCAGAAGTGAGCTTGTCAAATGTCTTCAAATATAATTTTCACAACTTTTAACTACTTATCAAATTACTTAGTACTTCATTGTCATTTTTTCTGCAGGGACCTAAAACCATGTCAACCACAGTTCTAGAATGTAAGGCCTGGAAGGAAAACAGGATGATAAATGACAAAAGAGCCTTACTGGAACTTGTAAAGGAAACAAAGGCTGAAAAAATCAAAAACAAGGAAGGGAAAATTCTTATTCTATCAAGGTACATTTATTTTCTGAACGATGTACTTTGGCAAAATCAAATGAATATGGAATGTTGTAATCGTCAATATCGTGCATTTTACAAGAATATATAAATTTACATCCGCTGAATATTTTCTTCTTTATTTCTTAAGAAAACCCATTGCGTTAATCACTGCATGAACTACAATCGGCATGTCGCCTGTACAGATTTCTTGGTCAGTGGCTGTTCCATAAATGAAACGTATCAAGATGTTCGCATCATTAATACAATAATTAATCTTTTTAATCCTACTTTGAATGAGTATTAAAACAGATATAAATATAAACAATTAAATGCCTTTCTTTGTTTGTTATTACTGGAATTAACGGCCGCAGATATTGCAGAAAAAATTTTTCATAACCCGTTTCTGCGGGTTGTGTATTTTTTTCTGCAACAGCCGCTTCCGTTAATTCCAGTAATAACATACAAGGAAAGCATTTTATTGTTTAAAAACCCGTAGGATTGATCTTTTTTGATTTTATTGAATATGTGGATTTTTACAGAACATCATGCTGATAGCAAAGTTCAGAGAAAAACAATTAAGCTATACAAGACAATTTTAAACTTTTGGGGGGAAAAATCTTAAGTTTTAAAAGAGTTATGCCATTGTCAGTGGACGTCTTTAAGTGCAGATGCAGCCCAGTACTTATTGTTTACAATATGTGGTATTGTTTCAACTTTAAAAGTTTTAGGGTCTCACGTTATAGAGCATTCTGTGTTGTTTTTAACGCTCCAGAACGAGTATATTATTAAAATTAGAATAATACACAAATATGTACCTCTAATTATATCTTGACAGTGATGGTGCTACACGGTGTGGAGCATTCTGTGTGGTTTATAACTCTCTAGAACAACTGTATAATAACAATAATCTACGTACTCTCTAGATACAATGATCTAATTATATCTTGATAGTGATGGAGCCACACGTTGTGGAGCATTCTGTGTGGTCTATAACGCTCTAGAACAACTCTCAATGGATCAGGAAGTGGATATCTTCACCATCACACGACAACTTCAGATCCGTAGACCGGAGTTTGTGTCTACCTTGGTATATACAACCATTTTCCATTTAAGTTTTATCATTATTGACATTTTGCTTATCTTTATCATTATCTACTTTCCCCTGTATTTAACAAAGAGTTTTGGTTTATAATTATTTTCAATATATGCCTGTCAAATTTTAATATTAATGAAAGCATTTCGTGCATCAAGTCAGTATTTACTACCAGTATATCAAGTAAATAAATTAAACTGTTTACTATACCATATGTCCATTATGTATCTAACAGCATCATAAAATCATAACCAAATGTACATCTAAATATGTGTATACACACATTTTAACTCAATCTGAATAAGGCGTCTGTGAACATGATGATTTTTAATGTACTTTTACACGATGAAATTTTTCATTAAAAAGATGCATTTTAATGCACATAGCACCTTTTTTTCAAATGCTTTATTCTTATTAATATAAGCTTTTCAAAACTTGATAAAGTGATGATAACAAATCGTGTTAAAAAAACTTAACATGACTGCACTGGATGCTTAACTGTTTTCGTCTCTAGAAAAGCTTTATCACCATACGAGACCAAAGAGGATAAAATATATTTCATCTTTTTTAGGAGGAATATCAGCTTTGTCACGAGGTAGTGGCAGGATTCATTCAAAATGATAGTGTTTATGCGAATTTCTGAACGAAAAAAAAATCGTGTGATCTTCTCAGTGACAGATGGATTTGATCACTGTTGATATGCAATTGCTAACTTTTGTCCTTGTGATTTGTTTTTAAACTATTCCTATACTAAAAGAAAGATGAGAACTTGAAAACAACAGCCGTGTAACAAGATCTACAATGAATAGCAGAACGTGTTTATATTTTGTTACATTCTTTTGTTTTGCATTTAAATATCCTTTTTGTTTGTTCTTTTATTGCTTATCATTTTTATTTATTTAATCTATTATTCAATTTAATGTGATTTTAGTTATAAAACGAAAAAATACTTGCACATTCATTTCATACATGTATGAATCTACGTTTATAAATCAAATGCCATCAATTTAAACAACAAAAAATGAAAAACAATACATAGTTTCACATACATGCTAATTGCAAACGCTTCAATTGATATGGATTTTTTTACTATTTAAAAATTAAGATTTAAATTAAATTCTACAAACTTTTCTTTGTTTTTTTCTTCAGAAATATATTCAATCGAATATAAATTATCACAAAATTGTATTTTTTTTCCATCTCGAACACCGGGAATTTTACTTCTAACACTACTTTTATATGTATATGGGTTGTCTTATTTGAGTTCTCAAATTATCCTCAAATAGAATGTATATAACAAAAGTACGAGATTCATGGAAAAAATTATAACAGAATTATCCAACAGTATTATAAAAACGATTGTTTCGAACACATTTCATAGTAATTTCATAGTAATTCGTAGAGAGATATAACTTAAAAATCGAGACACCTATCTTTATGAGGATGAACAGGAAGAAAAGAAGTATGTTTGTACATATTTATTAACGCCTTTGCAAGTCTCTTGCACTGTTATAAAGTTCTGAGAAAGGCGCTCTATGGATACTTAAAAAGTAACACCTACTTGACACTTAATACATTTATCTCTAGATTTAATGTTAACACTGGGTTATTTACCTTCTGGGTTCACATGTACTAGATCTATTAAAAGGGAATGTGTATTCATTGTTCGGATAATTTGTCAGCTATTGTATTTGGCTTACTGTTCAATAGTTTTTCAAACTTCCTTGTCGATTTTCATAAAAAATCTGCATGTATTTTTAAACCGGCAACTGATTTTGCATAATTCAATAAATAAATTTAGACATAGTACAATACATGTGTACAAAGTTAACTAAAATATTTAAAAATGTATTCGTTTATATTCATTTTCTTTTAAGAGGTTTTCATAAGGAAATCCACATATTAAGAAGTGATGTATTGTCCAACATAAAAAAATTGAATACTTTTCATAGATAAATTACGGAGGCCGAAAATTGCCATGCAGATAAAAGATATATAGCGGCTGCTATATAGACATAACTGACAGTCGCCAGAAAATAAATTTTCTGGGGATCATATCTGGCGACTACCAGATTAAATATTTTTCCACAAAGGTTCAATTGTTTTATTTTTTCAAACAATGCAAAATAAACGTGCTAAGAATTTCCCCTCTCCCTGAAACATGCTTTACCTAAATAATATAGCTGTATCTTTTTAGAATCATAAGAAACAACCAATTATTTGCAAATTTATTGAAAAATACGTTTAATTTTATCTTATCTACAGAACTTTATTGATTTATGCAAAGACGCCTTTCACAATAAAATCTTATCTAAAAACCCTCGTATATATGTAATAGAAAGTAAAATTTTTAGAAATAATATTTCATACAATCTTATCTGTATTAACATATTTCTTTCAATTCACCATATTCAATCCTCTTAAATTGTATAATTATAAAATTTGAAATATATTGACCTAAGAAATATTAGGATAAAAAAAGAAAACAAGTTTCTATGCAATCGGGAAACTGCATTTTTAAATATACTTTTAACATATATCAAAGTTTTATGAAACCTGTTCTCTTCTGTAAACTGTAAACTGATTTTGCACAATTCAATAAATAAATTTAGACATAGTACACTACATGTGTACAAAGTTAACTAAAATATTTAAAAATGTATTCGTTTATATTCATTTTCTTTTAAGAGGTTTTCAAAAGGAAATCCACATATTAAGAAGTGATGTAATCTCCAATATAAAAAAATTGAATACTTTTCATAGATAAATTACGGAGGCCGAAAATTGCCATGCAGATAAAAGATATATAGCGGCTGCTATATAGACATAACTGACAGTCGCCAGAAAATAAATTTTCTGGGGATCATATCTGGCGACTACCAGATTAAATATTTTTCCACCTAATACATCACGACTTAGGTGATAAATAAAATCGAATTGAAATTTAAACATTTAAAAGAAATTGAATATGGGTGTTGTTAAAAAATCCGTAGAATCATAAATTTAAATAAAATATATAGTGTACTTTGACGAATGACCCATGTCTAATTAAATTCTAATCTTTTGTTTATTAGTGAATGCATGTAAAAAAATAGTCCTATTAACTAAAATTTTGAAAATATACCATTGATTTAAAATGTGTTGTCAAAGGGTTCACAAAGCAATCACCTAAGGTTAGACATTGTTACAACCGGATTCAATACCTGTCAACCCTTTTTTAGTTCTAAATATCTCTCAGCTCTATTAATTTTTTGTAATATCTTTTTCGTATTTAGGAAATTGAATAACTATATCGAGATATTTTTCCGAACATTTTTCGCATAGAGTAGTTTATTGGTTAGATTTTCAAAAAAAAATATATTCGCAGTTAAGCAATCAAAAATTGAAACTGTACCTATTGAACACCTTTGTGTTAGCTACGTTAGGTCCTGTCCAGTAACATCTAAAATATTTCAGTTTGTATAAGGGATTTCTCTGTCTGCACACATTTAAAATTATTTTTCAATAGCTAGATACTCCAAGACGTCCAATGACTTGTCCTTCTTGACTTACTCATTGATCATCTTCATGTAGTCTACTGGTTAAAAAATGAAAATCACAAGATAGAGATATATTAAAAGTTACTCAAAAGCTAATTATAAAAAAGGGTTTTAAATTGCTTTTTAAAACACTGATTTGATTTTGGAATGTCGAATGTGCACTGGGAGACTGTTTCATAAATGGGCTGCGGCATAGTTAAATTGTCTTTCGCCAAACTTCCCAGTGCACACCCTCGGTAGATTGAGTTGTAAACTTCCGTCCGATCTAAGCGTTCGGTTAGTTTTACGGAAAATAATCAGTTTCTGTAAATACTCTGGAGCATATCCATACACTGCCTAGTAGGTATATGCAAGGATCTTATACTGTGGGCGGAATTCCTCTGGAAGTCAGTGCAAGTCATCAACAATCGGAGTGATATGATCGCTTTTTCTTTTCTTTTTAATAAGTCGAGCTGTACTGTTTTTGTAACCTTTCCACAGAACTCTTGTGAATGCCAAATAGTACAGTATTCTCATAGTCCAGTCGTGAAGTAACTAGGAGTCTTGCATGCATCAGCTGAGATGAAGCTCCTAATTCTTCCAATGTTGCGGACGTCTCCATACATGTATGAGTGAAAAATCCTCGAGAGCGACGTTAAACAATATACAACCAACCAATCAATCAATCCAATGTTGCGGAGATGATAATTATTGGCTTTAACTTGTTTTTCCATGTTGAGAAACTCGCCAAAATGGGTGCCTAGATGCCTACATTTCGTACAGACGTTACACTGTTGATGACACTCTCCAACTTTAAGTTGTAAGACTGGCACATTTTTGGATTGGAATTTTGTTGTAAAAATTATCAATTCGGTTTTGATCTGGTTTAATTATTAACGGCAAAATAGCAATACCACTCACTCAATATAATTAAATCGTTTACCAAAGCACAATTTGTGATTATATTCAGGACCATTAAACTATTATTGTATTTAACGTGCTACAAAGGTTCAATTGTTTTATTTTTTCAAACAATGCAAAATAAACGTGCTAAGAATTTCCCCTCTCCCTGAAACATGCTTTATCTAAATAATATAGCTGTATCTTTTTAGAATCATAAAAAAACAATCAGTTATTTGCAAATTTATTGAAAAATACGTTTAATTTTATCTTATCTACAGAACTTTATTGATTTATGCAAAGACGTCTTTCACAATAAAATCTTATCTAAAAACCCTCGTATATATGTAATAGAAAGTAAAATTTTTAAAAATAATATTTCATACAATCTTATCTGTCATTACATGATATTTCTTTAAATTCACCATATTCAATATATAATTATAAAATTTGAAATATATTGAACTAAGAAATATTAGGATAAAAAAAGAAAACAAGTTTCTATGCGATTGGAAAAATGCTTTTTTAAACATGCTTTTAACATATATCAAAGTTTTATGAAACATGTTCTCTTCTGTAGACTTCAGAAAAACTTGAACCAAATTCATAGACAAGAAATAAAAACTGTTGAACGAAAAGATGTCAGTTTCCAGATCAATATTCATTCTTACTAACCTTAAATTTTAATTTTTAAAGGTTCTTCAATTGGTTTAATTATTTTTGAAACAAACGTGCAGTCTTTTTATGGAACACTGGTCAATTATGAAAGTGTCCTAGTTGTGAAAGATTTTTCATGACTTCCTGGTAGATTTCTTTTTTAACGCTTTGTACTTGCTAGGTTAATACAAAAAAGACAATGGCAAATTTAGAAAAAAAATCTTAACTCAATCTGCATATCAAGTGTTGTATATTTAAATTAAGCCAACCAATTACCCCCTTTTTTTCCATATCAGATGAAAATGTTTAATCTGTGTGTAATCAAATAAAGCAAAAAGTCTTGTTTTGTCTACTCAGTTCTCTTTGTAAGGCACTTACAAACTGGAACATTTAACAACAGACATATACTAGTTCAAAAAGGCTGAGTATTATAAAAGGTCATTCATTACTTTTATACTTATCAATAATGATCATGGGCTTTTACATAAATAAGAACCGATGTTTTACCATTCTTAACTTTCTTCTTCTGAATTATAAGTAAAGTTACATCTTCAATTTATCTAAAACACTAAAAGATGAAAATTAATTAAATATTATGATGTGTCCTTAAAATTTCTCCTTAAATTAAAAATTTTTTTTATTATTTTGTTAATATTCCATTTTTTTTTGTTAGTTTTGAACCAAGTTCAATGTGAGCCCTACTGCTACTACCACTACAATTATCAAACGGGTTATTTATATTATAAATGCCTCTATGACTACTACAACAATAGCAGGTAAGGAATTAATTAATAATAAGGATGTCAAAATTGTCAATAAATAATATTCGAATATTTGATGGGAGTTTTGGAATACATTCGAGTATTCGATATAAGAAATGCATCTTGCATTATTGAATATATATTTTCACTCTCCTGCCAAGTAGTATACATATTTTGCCATAATTTTGGGATACAATTAATGCAGAGTTTTGTAAACTATGCACAGTAATTATATTTTT